CAGGAAGTTATCGCCAAGTGTATTTGCTGGTAAGTTGCAAAAGTGAGTATCCTCATCTAACCTAACTCATGCCGGAGGCTTGTCTTGCCTTCGGCGACCTAGTTGTTTGTTTGGATGTCGTTGATGTCAACGCATATGTCGTTATGCATGCTGGATTGTCACCAAGTTCTGCGGTATGCAGGTGCTAGTCATCCTGTGTTGCGTTATTTAATAGTCATGATGGCATTTATCACTAATCAGGGCTGTATCAATTTATGCGGCTTACATGGTTAAGAGCAAATTCATGAACAGTTAACGACGATAATTATACACCAACCGTTAAAGATTCATGTTGCCGGAGCGTGTTCAGCACACCTTTGTAATAACCAGACAAAGTCGTAGAACCAAGACGTGAGCTTTGGGTAGAGAGAGATTTATTGATTCAGCAAGAAAAAAACGCATATCGGTGCTGATACAGTGTCTCTAGCATCAAGCACACTTGTTTTTCTCACGATTCCCTGAAAAGTTATCATGATGTGTGCTCAGAAACCTAAGCAAAATAGTTAGCCACCCCTGCCTAGAAATAGTCAGTATAAATTCTGATACAAAAGAATGGACGTCCTCTTACCTACAGGGAAATAAGTCATCGACTCGAATTGACTTGATGATATCACTCCGAATTTGACGCGACAACAGACAAGCAACATTCTAAAAACATTGAAGCGATGAGGAGAGCTCGATTGTTCTATCAACGAGCCGTCCTGCGTGGGAAATCAATCCGTCGCGGGGTTTTGATGGCGTTTCTTGGTCTTGCAGTTTTCTCGTGTTGGGTACCGTGGTTTATCATGCCAATAGGCAGTCACTTTGAGCTGGAGAAAAAGCCCGCATCAGCTGTGACCAGCGCCTTGAGTCCTGACGCAAGTACGACCAGCCCCTTATTAAGTCCCAGTAAACCTGTGACCGACACCTTGCATCCCGACGCATCAGTGCCCAGTGTCTTACGAGCTACTGCACCTGCGTCCAGTGTTGTATTGCGTCCTAACACACCTGTGGCTAGCGCCTTAAGTTCTGACTCACCTGTGACCAGTGTCTTGCATCCCGACACGCCGGAGCAAGGACGACTAAATCCGCTCGTCCCATTCACCGTCAAGGCGACAACCCAACTGTTTAGCGAGTATGAGGAAACGTTCCCACAACATGGCAAGAACGAACCGGGCCAGCATTATCGAATTGAAAATACCGAGGTTCTGACGCAACCTGGGAATAGAGACAAAGACTCAGTTTTGATCATTTGCGTTCTTAACGACGCTCAATCGTGGGGGAAAAATCGCACCATGGAGGACTTCTTCAAACTAATCGGGTCTTTCGAGTACCCGAGATCGAAAATTTCGATCGCGTTGCTCACTTCATCTATGGTCGAGTTTACGAAGGCGAAACAACTCTTCGGCTCCTACATCGAGCAATACTCAAGATTATCCGTCATCTTCCGCAACGACTTCTCGGCTAAAGGATTAACACGTGCGAACCGCCACATCCACTCGCTTCAGGCCAGCCGACGACGTATGCTCGCTCGATATCGCAACTACGCGCTGCTTTCCACGATGGAGTCATGGCACCAGCACGTTCTCTGGGTGGATGCCGACGTTACCGTCATCCCACCAGGATTGGTGCTGAAAATGGTTAAGTCCGGCCGCGACATCGTGGAGCCCATGTGCGTTCGCAATATCAGAGGCAGATGGGTTAATTATGACCGCAACGCGTGGGTGGGCCAGCGGAAAGTGAGGTCTGCTAACGACAAGGACTTCGTACCGGGTCCACTGAACGCCCGATCCTTTCACAACCTCCCTGACAGATCCAAGCCTTTTGTGCCACTAGACTCGGTAGGAGGAACGATGTTGTATGTGCGTGCAGATATACACCGGCAAGGGGTGATGTTTCCTGTTCACTACGTCATCGGTAGTGAGTGGGGTCGGGAAGGTTATGACGGTATTGAAACAGAAGGCTTATGCTACAGCGCGCATTTTCTGGGCTACAAGTGTTGGGGCATGCCTCAAGACGCCATTCAGCATGTCTGGTAGACGAGCTTTGCATTGTGTCCAGCTTTGTTTCGTGAAACAGTGGATCTTGGTATTTGATGACCTCTAAAATAGTGTAAATCAACAAATACATCTGCTGCACGAATAGTTGCTACGACAATTTATAAAACTCTTGAAAAATTGTATGATTTGACAACTCGACTGAAAAACAACACCATTTATTTTGCTTTAGAACTAAGAACATGTTCGACTAGAACCAACTGCTTGATGCTTGGCATTGAAAACCCAAGCCCCCCACGAGTCCTCCCCCGAATGTGTTTCACGTGGATTGAGATACTGCAGCTACTTGCTATTCTCGGAACCAATAAAGGAAGCGTCCAACCATTATTTTTTGCTCTAACTACCAAATTAAATGTTACGAAATGATTTCATCATATGTTGACCACCCGAAATATGCTTTTCATCACTTTTCGGCCACTAGTCGACAATAATGCTTACAGCAGTCCGTCGTGGTCGCCTCCTGTACGTTCCGGCGTCTCCGTCTCGAGCATTTGTACGTGTACATGTACACTCATATTGATGCACAAATACACAATAGAATGTCACGCACTTATCCTGACTGTCTCATCCAAACGAATTCCATGCTTTTCTACAGGCGTCGGCATCTGCAGAGGCGCTCGACGAGCTGATCTCCCACGCCACACAACAGGACGAGCGGCCTGCAGGACGTCGACAGGGAATTCCGCGTCGACTACACAGTTACCAGGCTTCGGCAGCTATCGAATGTGCTGCTGAAATCCACGCGACGGCTGTGGTCCATCCGAACGCGGAGTTGGGCCCAAATGTCCTGGTAGGGCCTTATTCCGTCATCGGACCAGGTTCGTAACTTTACTTTTATTAATGCTATCGTTATATATTGCTAATTTTATTTGTAATGTTAGATGTGGTGCTGGAGGCTGATGTTCGGCTTCAAAGTCACGTGGTGATCGACGGTAAGACGCGAGTCGGGAATGGCACGGTGGTTCACCCGTTTGCGAGCTTGGGAGGCGAACCGCAGGATAAAAAGCACCAAATGTTCGAGAAGGACGAGTATGGCGATATGACGCTGACAATTGGCAGTAATTGTGTCATTCGAGAGCATGTTACGGTGCACGGCAGCACGTCATACTCACAGGCACCGACGTCCGTTGGTGATGATTGCTGGTTGCTTTGTGGAGCTCACGTGGCTCACGACTCGCAGTTGGGCAGACGAGTTGTTGTCTCAAATAACGTGTGCATTGCGGGCCATGTATCGATTGGAGACTGCGCGATTATTGGCGGACAAGTTGGCATCAAACAGCACGTGAATGTAGGCCCGTTGGCGATGGTGGGCGGACAGAGTGCAGTGGATGGTGATGTGTTACCATACGGGTTGGTTGTGGGGAACCGAGCCAAGCTTGCGGGACTTAATCTGGTTGGTCTGCGCCGCGCTGGAGTGTCACGAAACAATATCAAGTTGTTGCTGCGAGTGTACCGCTATATGTTTGGTACACCTGCATGCAAGAAAACTGGCTTTGCACCTGCTCTTGAGTAAGTGTGAACTGGTGCTTAGTTTGTGCCTTTTTTGCTGATATTCTTTACTTGATGGTCGCAGTTTGGCCTACAGGGAAACGGTCGTAGAACGCGCTATGGAGGCAAAACAGTTTTTGATCAACGAAGGACTCGACAGCGAACGGATACCAATGGTGCACGAAATGGTATGATCATTTTTTAATATGGACATCCGTGAGCGTATGCTAATTGCTGCTTTTTTTTTTTTTTGCTTATTCAGGTGGACTTTGTGGTGACTTCTCCACAGCGCTTCCATTCCTCATTGTGTCATGCAGTGATCGCTTCTCCTTCACATTAGATTTTTAGCTTGAACACAGACCGCTTAGATATGAATGATCTTGAGACTTAGATATTTGCATTAGAATTCTTAGCTATTTATTCACTGACGATCCGTTGGTTTATCATAAGGTGTGTTTCTAGGAAACGCTGAGAAAAAATGAGGGTGCCGTGTGAACTTGGATAGTTGACAAGGTGATCTCTTGGGCAAGCAAAGATGAATGCCGTTGACACCATCTCATACTGCAACCCCCGACGCTTCGACACTTCTGACATTTTGTTGGATAGTTGGTTTTGCTATCGCAGCGTCGGGTTTGTCAAGAACACAAGCTGACATTACGACCTTGACGATAGGGAAGAAGGCTTTGAAGCTCGACAGGCCTGCTGATGAAATGGGGGCTAAGAAGAAAAAATCTAGACCGCGAAAGTCACTCATGAGAAAGCATCGAAGAGCAAGCTTTCAAGCAGAGTTGAGTGGGAAACCACAGAGTCCAGAGGCCGAGTCTCTACTACAATCTGCACAGGAAGAGGCTCAACAACCTAGCAGTAAAAGCAACAGATCTAACCGACGCACAGCGAGGCTGCCATCATCGCCCAAGCGCGATGCAAGCGGTGACAACAATGACAAGAACGAAGCTGAACCCCAACAGAACGAGCAGAGTCCACCCCCAACAGCTCGTCGCTCTACCTTCATGTCATGGCGCAGTCGGAACTCTACCACAACGATAGTCGAGGATGCACCTCCTGCCTCATGCCCATTGACCTGCCAGCCTTCAAGTTGCTTCATCGGATCACTCAACGGGACTATAAGCGAGATGCATCTCCCACTGCTCACCAAGCACACAAAGGCCCGTATGGATGCACTAAGAGCTGCTCCCAAACAACAACAACTTGAAGTAACAATTGAACACTCGGACGAGCTACCGTTTGGAGCCTATGCACACCCACAAGTACGCGTTCATATCGTCGACCGATGCACCGGAAGAGCTCTCTGTCCATCACAAATGACAAGTGAAGCCAAGTTCTGCCTGGACAACAACGCTAACTGTAGTAAGTAACTAGTTCCAATGGATCTGATCACTCCTAATTTTACGCACTCTTTGTTTTGTGTGTTCAGACGCATTTGAATGGCAACAAGCTCTGGACATTTTGGTTGATATGCCAACGTTTCTGAATACCCGAACAGTGTTACTATTTGAGATATTGGAGGCGAAGGCTCCAACAAAAGGCGTTCGCTTTCGTCGAGGTAAACGCTTCGAATCTGTGAGTACCCACGACGAAGACGACGAGTACCCGAAAGCTTTCAATCCGAAACCTACACCAGACTATCGACGTATTGCTTGGGGCTTCTTCCACACAATCACAAATAGAGGAACTCCTACGATGAACTCTTTCGTGCTACCGGATGTACCAGATGTCAATGAGAAGAAGAAAAGGCAGTCGATTGTTGATATTTGTGGATTACGAGTACGATTATTTGAGTACCAAGTCATGACATGGATGGACAAATATCAAGCGAAATTGCAGTGGGGGTGGAGGAAAAACCACCCTACTGTACCAGCAGTTTTTCTCCAGTATCAGAAACGTTCACGTGTCCCCGCACCGAGTACACTACACGTACAACTACGCGCCACGAACCCGCCAGCCTCTCCACGACAAGCGGAGACAACTAACGAGAGTACTGTCGATAATCGCTACCGGGAATTGAACGATACGACGGAACATGAAGCTGGAGATAACCAAGAACCTCCAACGGAAGTCTCTACACTACCCGTTGAAGATACCACAAGTAAAATCACTCCTCCCGAAGCCTCATCAAGCGACTTCTTCGATTTAATGGCGCCTTGCAAGAGAAACACTTCAGAACCGTGTTTAATTCCTTTACGAGTGCTTTGTTCTCTCCCAGCTGGGAAGAAAGGGTGCTCCGCTGTGAGTTTTAGTCCTTGTGGACGCTTCCTAGCTGCTAGTGTGAGTCCAGAACTCGGAGACTTCGTGGTGCAGGTGTATTACATGGCATCCGCCGAGCTCTTCGCTGTTGGTAGAGGCCATCGAGGAATCATCTACTCGTTACAATGGAGTTTTGTTTCTAACGGGCAGTATCGACTACTCTCGGCATCATCGGATGGCACTGTTCGTCTTTGGGAGCTTCCTTCCAAGAATGCGGCGAGTTCTCCTGATTCCCCAACATCTTATCGCACTCATCTGCTCTCGTCAGTATTCCAGTGGCATCACTTCCCTTGCTTCGTATACTGTGCTATATTTCTTCCTGGTAGCAATGGAGAGATTGTACTCACCGGTGCTTCTGATGGCTGTATGCGTTTCCGGAAAGAGTCATCAATACCAAGTGGCCAACCTGAGTACGGAATGCTTCAGGTGAGCTCTTCTGCTGTGCACACTATTTGTGTGGAAGCCAAGACTGGACGGATTTTTTGTGGCGATGCGAAGGGTGATATCACTGTTTGGAATCGTACAGCAACCGCTCCGACACTTCACGGCTATGAGCGAATCAAGACGATCCAAACTGGACAAGCTAGTATCTCTTCGCTTCAGCTACACCCTCGAAAGGCTCATCTGCTGGTTCATACACAGCCCAACGCCATTTTTCAGTACGAATTGCGCTCATACCTTCTGTTAAACAAAAGCTATGCCGGTATGGCTTGCGAGTCTTTGTTGGTGAAAAGCTCATTTAGTCCTGACGGCAAGCTGGTTATTAGTGGATCGGAAGATGGCGTTCCTAGGTTATTCACTAGTGTTCATGGTCAGCAACTACAGCGTGGCGTTTGGGGTACACATTTCTTTCATGGTTGCCCCGTACTGGATGTAAGCTGGTCACCTACGGCGCACATGGCAGCACTCTGCTCTTACGGTAAACAGTTGGATATTATCTTGATGCCGGGCGTGTTTATACTAACGAAGTGCGTGCTGTATGGTTTAGGAGGGAACAATCCGATTGTGGTGCTTTGCTCGTACCGAGGCGACGAAGACGCTGTATACATCGATGAATCTGCATCAAACATTACGATGAATACTACGACGAACCTTCAACTTGCTGTCGATGCCTTCCGAGGAGCGAACCAGCTGGAGGCCTTCAGGGGTGACCATGCCCAACGTCTCCAGCGAGCATTGGAACGACGCCAAAAGCGTCTGCAAGCAAAGGTAATTGTTTTATTGTTTCTGTTTCTGACCAAGTCTAGTAACTCCTTGTGTTCGCATCGTGCTCTTCCATATAGTTATCGCTGGAAGCAGACCTTAGTAAGGACCAGGCTAGCAACAACCTGGCTTCATCCATCGCAGTGTAGTGTTAACGTCACCCTTAAAAGAACTGCATTTTTTGGATAGTGCTATATTTCACTTTTAGTATTGTTCTCTATTTTTAAGAACTAAAACAGTTTGCTTATTTTCCCTTTTCTCGTTATACATCCCTGTTTCGATTGTGATGTCTTTCAAGACCAGTCCACAAGATCACCTCGTGAACAAGGAGGCCGTTCGCCATCTACCCCAGAGTCAGCTTGAGATTCTGACATTAGCGACTATTTTTCGTGAAACGGGAGGTCATATTCGCGACGATGAAGGAGCTACAGCGTGGACTCGCCAATCCGGGTGGAACAAAATAATGGAAGTCTCAGCGGCTCTTAGTAATGGAGGAATACCTATTCCAAAGACATCCACGATGCAGGCCTTCTTCCCGTCTGTATTCGGCGTCAAGTGGGAGCGCAACCATGTCGTGGCCGTCGATCTGTCAGATAATGGGCTTGGAGGGAATTTTCCTGCTGGAATTGTGCGACTCCGCTTCCTCACAACTTTGAAATTGAGAAACAACCCGAACTTACGTGGAGCATTGCCTCGGGAGATATACGCGATGCCACACCTGAAATATTGCTATATAGACGGCACAAAAATTGAGAATACCCTTCCGTACAACATAGCACACTCATTTGAAATCACTCAGATGAAATCTCAACTTGGTAAACCAGCGATATCCACAGTTAGTTTCTGCACAGGAAAGGATCACTTTATCCGCTGGGTGGCCGACATGACAGAGTCTGACATGTTTATGATACACTCCACTCTCAAGAAGTTACACGAGAGTACCAATGGTCAAGCAGGGCGAAAACAGATCAAGTGTACAGCCAGCAACGCCACGGGACCAGAACGTGCAGCTGCCGCCATAAAACTTCAGCGAATCTATCGAGCTCGTATCGAACGAACCAAATTCCGCAACTTCCTTCGTTCACTTGTAGAGATGAAGGTCGACCCTACCACAGGATACACCTACTACGTTAATGCACGAACTGGAGAAGCAACTTGGGAAAAGCCGAAGTTTCTTGGTTCCGACAAGGATAGCGACGCAAGCATTAATGCCGACAAGACAAGTGGCGATGCAGCAGACGCACGAGAAGCCTGGAAACCTTACGATGATGGTTACGGCAACACGGTAAGTTAAAAAAAAATTAATCGCCTTTCCAAATCATCTACTGTAGGAACAAGAAATGATGCCAACTCTTTTTTTCCATAGTACTACTGGAACAGCGTGACAGGAGAGTCGACGTGGGAGCCTCCAACCTTCCTCAGTCGAATATATGAAGAGCTACGAGAACGCTACGGCGCTGATAAGACCGATGAAGAACGATTCGAGCTTTTCTTCCAAGATATCGATCGTGACGGCACCGGAGAAATTGACCAAGACGAATTTGCAAGTTTGTGTGGAGATCTGGGTATGGCGTTGTCTGCTAAGCAGATAAAAGAAGTGTTTCAAGAACTTGACAGCAGTGGGGACGGTCAACTTGATCGTCCCGAAATCATCGCGTGGCTTACGAGAAACTTCAAATAAAAAACAATTTTAAAAAATCAAATATTTCAATAACAGTATCTCTCTATTCATCATCACAGAGGAGTTGCAACAACTTCTCAGAGTCAGCGATCGTCCGAGTCAAGCCAATAATCTGATTTCCACTGATCAGATACGTATCCGTGCAAGCACACTTGACTGCGGGCTCCGAGTCGTCAAAGTCGATATTTTCCGATCTTCGGAAAGTTGCGTCAAACTCTACAATCACCGAGTACCCAATAGCTTGAATACTCTTCTCTTCGACGGAGACCACATCCAGACACTGTTTAAATAAGGAGGCGTACTTGATGATACCCTGGTCTCCATGGTATGTCCCCCAGAATGGCATCTCTTCAGGCACTTCAGACTTCAAAAAGAAACTCGCAGATGTCACGGGACCTAATAGGTTAATGTCCGGAATAACCAGATACGGTCCACCGCGGTTCTTGGCCACGCACTCCACCAACGTCGTGTTGGCCGCTTCGTCAATATCACTGAAACTATTGCGCGACAACCGTGTCCTGTTAACTGCACTCTGCATGGCTTCAAACCACCTCATTCTCGTCGTATCGGAACGTGTAACGAAGGTTAAAGTTTCGTCCTCCTCCCGATGACCGTCAAAAACCTCCACTTGGAAGCCAAAGGCTCCTCGATCTCGCTTTTTCACGCTACGACCAAATGCGATCCACTTTCTAGCGTTGCATACGACCAGTTTCTTGGGTCGTGACGTCCAGGTTTGTGTATGTGCCATTAAGAATTGCTTCAGCATCGAAGCTTTAGACGGAGAGGTAGCTTTAGCTGTGCCGTTGCTGGGTGCTCCAGACGTCGCGGTTGTTGCATCTTCCAACGTCAATTGGCAAGTAGATTTCTCGAATTTCAAGTGCACTTTAGCCCACTTGGATCGCTTTTGGTAGGCGTAGCCACTTACGAAGAACTCGTCTTCCTCAACGTCGAATGGTGTGGACTCGTCGGACTGCAAGATGTCGATAATGGACTCTGGGAATTTACTCTGTGATCGGCTCTGGAACATATCGCTTGGATGTACCGCCTCGCTTCCTTTGGCCAGGTTGTGGGATGATCCAAAGCCTTCTTTCTCCATCGGAAGCCGTCTAAACGGCTCTAGTTCTCGTGATAGGTATTCGCTGGCTGAAGACGACGGCCGAGCAAGCACAAAGCCCGTGTCTGCGTCGTCTTCGCTCGTATTCCTCTTCCTCAGGGTTCCATTTCGTGCTCCACCAGTGACAACTTGCAGACCTAGAAGCGAATCATCTAGCGCATCCATTTGTTGATAATGCGTGGCAATGAGAGACGCAGCGAAATCATTCCAACCTTTCACATTGTTGCAGAATTGGCGAATAAGTTCCTGTTGGAGCGTCGGGGAGCTGCAGATCTTTGCGATTTTTACGCCAATGATCGCCAAATGAGCATCGTAAATGTGCGTCGAACTGTTCGAGTCCAGTTTGCGTAAAATGAACTCCAAAATTGAGTCAGGCGAGCGGAAGACACTTCTAAGTAGCGGATTGTTCACACGTCCGTTTGTTGATGGCCGGTTCAGTAGGTTCAAGTAGAGTTTCACTAGTCGACAATGCAGGATGCTGGCTGTGGGAAATTTCTCGAAAATATCCATAAGCGATGTCGCCAGATCCAACCTAGTTAACCGGCTATCGATACGGTCGTTCGACATGAGAATGACGACGTCCAGCAGCTCCACAACATGCGTGACAAGCAGAGTTGACGCTAACGGTCGATGGTTCACCACTGCCTTCCCCGATCTGGGCGAATAGCTGAGAGCAGGAGGAGTTATCCCCACATACAAAGTGCTTCGTGCAGGTGAAGACCCACTTTTTGCTGGTTTATTGGGACTCTCTTTCCCAGCCAGTGAATCGAACTCCCCAGTCCCACTACTGTCGTCATCCGAGTCGCTGTCACTGAAGCAATCACGTGCAGCGAACTCCGATATCGTGGACAAGTGTTGATGGTAATTGATTGATGCGCAGATGGTGTCCAAAACGAGGTGGATTGGAGCTACAAACGCCTCCAACTGGTCCGAATCGTAGCGAGAAAACTCAATAGCATGACGCAAGATATCGACCACGAGGATTCGAGGGATGCAGGTGCCGTTCATGTGGTGTGCGTCTAGAAAACGCAGCTCTGCCATTCCAAGCTCTGCCAGTCGAGCTAGAATGGTGCTGTTCTCCGTCAACGCTGCCAGTACAGCACACTTGAGTTTGTGGTGCATCGCTGGGTCGTGGATGGCCATTCTCGGAGGAAAAAGCTCCTTTTCAAACGCCTCCACGCTCTCAAAAGACGACAGTTGAATCTTTGCTTGGATGTAGTACCGGAAAGTATTCGGGAATTCGTCCTTCAGAATTTTGGTCAAAATTTCAGTGCAGCCACTTATCCTGGCATGAACCGTAGACGTCGAGTTAGTAGTAAACAAGGAAGGAGACAACGGAGTCGTCTTGGACGAGAAGAACGAAGACGGTGACAGAGTTTGGGACCCTCCGAAAGATGATCGAGGAGATGTTGATGAGGTGGACGACACTGTCGACGTAGAAGAGACAGAAGAGAGGGATCTCGCTAGTCGAGTCGGGACTTGCTCCACTATTCGCTGTACGAGGCAGCGGATGATCGGGAAATACTCAAACCCTCTACGAATAGAAAGGTGAATCAACCCATGCAGTAATGCCGCAACATCTGGGTTGTAAGCATGCACTGCAAGACGCGACAGGAGCCACTCCTTCTCGTCTTCTTCGTTCTCGTCACATATCAACCTGTGTACTGCCGGGAACGTGACGAAATTCTTGGTGATTCGACACATATTCGCCACCAAAACGCCGTCCACTTCCTCCTCATCTGCAACGGTGTTCTCCACATTTTCCGCTCCATTATTCTTCGTACTTGGCCATAAAAACCGGAACAAACCTCCAAAAATGCGTCTCCACTCGTTGGCCGTCAAATCCTCGAGTCGTAACAAATATCCACGTGTCGCCGGGTCTTCCAGTAGCTCTTCATCCTCATCTCCATCCACACTGAAGTCCGAGATGCTACTCCCAGAACTCTCAAACCGCATACTCGCACGCAGTCGCTGAATTCTGGCCATTTTTCTAGTCGATGCATTGCTTCTGAAGTCCATCATGGTCGGCAAATTCGTCGGTGGCGCATTAGTGGACACTGCGAGGCCTTCCATCTTGATATTGGGCTGTTGTGGCGCTTTAATTTGCTCTTTCGCCTCATTTTCAGCGTCATTTTGCTCTTGCTTGGGTTCTCCGTACCAGGCCATGGCTTTTAAGTAATATCTGAGGATAATCTCCGTGGCTACATATGCCTGTCGATATTTATCCGGATGTGGCTCGGCATTTTCAGTTAAATGGTCGCTGTAGGATGTGGCGAAGGCGAAAACCTGTTTAATGGACTCTGGCTCGAGTAGAAGCTTCTGGACGGGTGAGAAGTGGCCTCTTTCTCTTCTCTGTACCGCTGTGAGCACTGTGTCGACGTCGTAGCAGCTGCAGAAGACGTTGTCGAGTGCAGGAGCTTGACGCAGAGCTTCAGCGTTGTGCAGCGCCTGTGAGGCCTTCAGTGGGTCGTGTGCGGTCTTCGTGAGCTCCAGTAGTGACAGTGACTTGGCCCATGTTGTTGGAGGCACGAACGGTGCTGGATTGACTTGATTAGTGGCCTCTTTCTCATCATTTGCATCAGTTTGAGACGCTGCAAATGTGGCGGGGGACGACATCGTGCGTACGGGCTCGAGAAGATTGTCGACTTCGCTCTCGTTATCCGAGTCAGACTCGGTCTCGGCCGCGCATGTGCATTGGCGCGTGAGCTGCAGCGTCGAGGCCCCCGTGGACAGCATCGCACAGCACTGATGAGATGTTGCGCACACGTTTAGAGAATGAAAAGTGAATGAACCGGTTTGCTTTCGGTGTCAATTTTTGTCGCAATTTGAAAGGAATACTGAGATCAAGATAAGTTTGGTCATTGACAGGGCAAATACTACATGGGAAGTGGATTTATGACTTTGGGTTGGTAACAAACCAATTGATGATACAAAAATCGAGTGAAGTTGAAGGGTTGTTGCAAACATGTACAAGCAAGCACAACTGGCATGGACAGCCGTCCAAGGACTATCCCATCGTCGTAAGCTGGCATTTGCCATGGGGGTGAAGAAAGCGGTGAAGACGAAAAAGCAGTGACCACAAATGACGCTGAACTCTTTCGAGTCAGAAGTGCACCCACGGTGGTCTCCACTAGTCGACAGAATCCAGGCGATGGTCGGACCATCGTCGATATCGGCGGTGAATCACTATCGGTGATGTGGGCTTGGGACTACTAAACGAACGGTTATTTTGAGATATGCATCAACTTTATCGATATTTGAGCACTGCATGGGACTCGACTTGCACAGACGCCTCATTAGCCGCCACGCTGACCATGGCTACGGCATTACATCCCTTTGGGTGGTTTATGGCGAATGTGGACTGAGCTGTCTTTGCTTCGTAGGTATACGGGCGGGGTGTGGTCGGAATGGTTTCTCTTTGTAAGGTGTATCATCATCATCAGAGTTCCGTGAGCCACGAATCGTGAGATGAACAACGTGGCCGTCACGATAGACTTGAGAGCAACCGTGTGGTATGTCAATATCTCTGCAATTTTGGCCTATCGCACGAGCAGTTCATGGTAGAAGTGATCGCGTTGTCATTACACGAAGATTGGAATCTCGCTAGCGAATAAATTACGCGAATAGATTGAAAAGGAAGTTGGGGCGAACCGTGAAACAAAAAAATCAACGAATCTTTCAATTTCAAATGGTTTTATTCCACGCTAAAGGTTACGATCACCAAGTCTATCTCTTTTGGTGGTTAATGAAGCGCAGCGCCAACAACGCCAGCAGTCGGTACACTACGATGAATACAAAGATGTATCCAAAGTTGCTCCAGATCTCCGAGTGTTTGTACTCAAAGTTCGACTCCACATACTCCTTCACCGTCGCGTGGCCGAGCGAACTTGGCGCGTTGGTCAGTTCGTGACAAGCCAGCAGATCACTGCCACCCTCATACTCACCGGTTGTATCGTTCCACGTCGGGAGCTCCGGACAGTCGGTAAACACCAGCGAATTCAACAAACCCATCGAGTATTTCTGCGGTGTGATCAGGTACAACCAGTGGTAACCACGAGGAATACTTGCAGCTGGTGGATTGAAGCCCGCGAAAGTAAGACAGATCGAGTTGTACAGCACACCCAGGATAGCAGCGACCTCCACACTGGGCATCGCGTAGATGAAAAGCTGACCAAGATACGTCTGCATGAGAACGAAGAGCGAGTTCGCGATCCAGAACATGAAGCCCGACGCCACGTTCCTGAAGCCCACCGAAGGATAGAAAATAATGGTGAACAGCGCAGTACTAACGAAGACGTACGGGATTTCAGCAATCGTGGAGCCCACGAAGTACCACAAGCAGTTGTAGGTCTGCGATGCACGCTCTCGGTAGTACGCTCCACGCTCTGCGAACGAGATCGGAAGAGTGCCCGTGAACGAGATGACACCGTTGAACATGGACGTCATGAAGACCATAGCAATGCCAGCGTTGATTTCTTGGTAGGACTGGTACGATTTGTTTGCGAACACGACGGCAAACAAAATTCCAAGACCGAGCGAGATGGCAAACCGCGTGATGTTGTACGTCGGTGTGCGCCAGTAGCGATCGTTGAACCGCTTCAACAAGAAGCGCATTTGAGTCATCGAGTTGGCTGCACGTTTCTTCTGGAATGTCATTTCCGGGAGATCAGGACTGGGACGAGTCAAACCAGGTCGATCGAGTTGAGCGTCCAAAATCCGCTTCTCCTCACTCTCCTTGAAGCACTTCACAAAGTCCGTAGAGTTCTTGGAGCTACTGCTTACACCAGCACCGATCACCTCCAACATCCATGACGCAGGGTTCTGATCCTTCGGACATGGAGGCGTGCCAGGAATGGCCTCCAGATAGTCCACCAACTTGTGGCACCGCTCTCCTAGTTCACCAACAAACACCGATTCACCACCACGTTTCAACAGCAACAAGTGGTCGAACAGGAAGAACACATCGGAAGAAGGCTGGTGGATCGTACACACAATGGTTCGTCCACTGTCGGCCACTTTGCGAACGCCGTCCATGATCAACTTGGCAGAGTGAGCATCCAACCCGCTGGTCGGTTCATCCAGGAACAAAATACTCGGCTGCGCTGCGAGTTCCACGCCAATCGTCAAGCGCTTCATCTGTTCCTGTGAACATCCACGCACAATCTTGTCTGCGATCTCGTGCATATCCAGCAAGTCGAGACACTCGTTAACCGTATCATATTTCTTGCTGTCAGGGATCTCACTGTCCTGTCGGAGGAAGGCACTGAACATAAGTGATTCACGAATGGTTGACGCGTCCGAGTGGATGTCCATTTGCTCACAGTACCCGGTGCAGCGTCGAATAGCTAAATCGTTCGCTTCATACCCATTCAGCAGAATCTTGCCTGTAATCTTACCACCGGTCTTCCTCCCTGCAATCACGTCCATCAACGTCGTCTTGCCAGCACCAGAAGACCCCATCAGTGCTGTGAGTGAACCAGGTTCTGCAAAGCCACTGACACCCTTGAGTAGTTCGAGAGACTCTTTCGGGTTGCC